TTGATACAATGTCTAAGAGATCTGCTTCGAACTCTGGAAATGCCGGGATTGATTTCATTCGAGGGCAATCTGTCATATTTACGAATTCCCCTGAGCAAGGAATGAATTCACCACATTGTTTCAGAATAGGGTTGCTTAGTCGGTAGAGCGTGAAACTCAAAAGCCATGGTCAAAATCACTCGTTCTTCTCCGAGGTTGATGAATGAGTACATTTCCGTGGGAAGGAAAGAAGACACTAAATTCGATGCCTTCACAAGGCTGTAGAGTCAGACTTGAAATAATAAGGCACTCCTGGGCGATGGCACAGAAATGGAGATCAGCACCGCACCATAAACTTAGTGAAAAGAAGGGGTCCAAAATAGCCTAATCATTAACGAATTGGAAAACTGACATTCCAACGGTGACGAACTTTCCATTCCTTCTTTCTGTCTGACAGAGATGTTCACCATTTTTGATTTTATGCACGGATGATATGCAACACTACAGAGCGAGGTGAAAGGCCCGGCTGTTGTTGGAGAGAATACCGGCTTTGCTACAGTGTGCATGCTTCTGCCAGCTGCCACAGCTAAGCACAAAAATTTCCTCGAATTGTTAGATTTGTCACATTTTAAATTTATATCCAAATCTTGTAGACATGCGTGCACATAAGTGAACACAACCTAATCACGCATCGTAAATAAGTGAAATTTCGACAAATATCCGAATGGCAACAGCTATTTGCATGGGTAAAATATTGGTACGAAAAAGGATTCCACCACGACTGTTGCTACTACGATTCAATAAAAGGAACGAAAACGCATTTTTCATGAAATTTTTTTTATTGTATAATTAATAAATTACAACCTTAAATGCCAAATCAATCAACGCAGTTAGTCCTCACTGAACGCTCACGAAAAAGCGTTAAAATTAGCGCACCTTGCCATGATTCAGGTTTATTTGTGGTTACATCTCGGGCAGAAGAAATATTAGCGACGACGATGTGAAGAGCAGTGTACAACAACCATTTAAAGAAAGATCATCGGACAGACTGATCATCAGTTTTTTAAGTCCTGGCACGAAAAGACAAAACATCATTCAGTCTATATTGCTGACAGCTGTTGTAGAGCTATTTGTCGTTTTCGAGCGGACCGTACCGTATCCTGGCATAGATTTTAGTATGTCAAGAACAATTACTCAATGAGAAACATTTAGACCGTGCCGAATGTGACGGCAAGAGAGCCTAATATGAGCCAGTCCTCCAAAAGCGCCAGCTGTTTCAATTCGAACAAATTCTCCAGTAACAGTCTAAGAGGCAATATGCAAAACGTGCATCCTGTTCTCTGCCCCGAACATCAATGGAGAGGTTAACAAATCAAAATTTGAAGGAACAAATCTCTCCAAAAAATCTTTGGGCCGTAGGTCAATGGCTTATATAGGTGGATGGCCGAATGGTTATGACAGTGGAC